TTCTTCTCCTTCTTCTTCTCCTTCTTCTTCAATTATTATATTAAGGGACCAGCAGTTAGCGTAATGGCTATGTCGCTGGATTCTCATATGGTTGACCGCGGTTCGTGTCCCGGACCCGGTGGCTTAAAACCCACGCTGATGGGAAACAGCAGTTAGCGTAATGGCTATGTCGCTGGACTCCCATGTAGTTGACCGTGGTTCGCGTCCTGGACCCGGTGGCTTAAAACTCACTCCGGGCGCGTGTGTGTGCATGCCCAAGATCTCGAGAGGAGAATGGAGGAGAAGGGATTGTGGCGTGACCATCCCCTCAGGGGGTGATTTCTCGCTTTCTGTCTCTCTGTCTCTCTCTGTCTGTCTGTCTGGTGAGCGCACATGCCCTATAGCAAAAAAATCTCTCAAAAACAAAACAAAACCCACGCCGGGCGCGTGTGTGTGCATGCCCAAGATCCCGAGAGGAGAATGGAGGAGAAGGAATTGCAACATGGCCATCCCCCCTGGGGGGTGATTTCTTGTTTCTGTCTCTCTGTCTCTCTCTGTCTGGCGAGCGCACATGCCCTGCAGCAAAAACCTCTCAAAAAAAAGAATTATTATATTAAACTTCATTTATTTATTTTAATTTGACTAGAGAGGGACAGAGTGAGAGAGAGAAAGAGAAAAAAGGGACTTTTCATTTTCTCTTCTGTCCTCGTGAACATGTCGCGAGAGTTTGACCGATTCATGTAAGGTGCTTACATAGTAAGTGCTCCAGGACGCCAGCCATTGTTTCAACGTTATTTAAACCTTGCAAACTCGGAGTACTGGCAAGGTGCTCAGGAAGAGCACCCCTGCCCTGCGTGAGCCGTGGACTGTGAGGCAGGCTGCCCGGCCCCCTCCTTACTCTCTGTGGGCTCACCTATAAAACAGGTGTGTGCTGATGGTGCTTCCTTCACCGGCTTGCTTATAGGACTGAAAGGTGCTCTCTGGCCATGGAAGTCTTCAAGTCTTAAAGAATCACACCTGGCACATAGTAAGGGTCACAGAGATGTTCGCTGTTGTCGTTGCTATCTGTAATTAGAAGTCTGGGGCCAGCTCTGTAGCCTAGAGATTAAGGGAGCCCTGTCTAACATGAACAACTGAAATTTGATTCCCAGCTCCAGTAGCCTGAGAAACACACTAACCGCATGTCTGCGTGTTCCTAAAATCCCGACAGGATGGAGAAATGGAGGAGAAGGAATTGTGGTGTGACCCGGTGGGAGGTACTTTCTCCTCCCTCTCCCTCTCCCTCTCTCTGTTTCTCTGTCTCTCTCTGCTGAATACACATGCCTCTGGCAATTAAAAGAGTTTGAGGCCAGCAGGTGACATGGTGTTTAAGGCACTGGACTTTCCACATGGTTGGCCATGGTTCAAGTCCTGGGCCTAGCAGCTTGAAAATCACACCAGGCACGTTTGCATGCATGCCCAAAAATCCCAAGAGGAGAATGGAAGAGAAGGAATTGTGGTGTGGCCATCCCCCTGAGAAGTTGATTTCTCACTTTCCCTTTTTCTGTCTCTCTTCAGCAAGTATACTTGCCCTGCAGTAAAAATCTAAAAAAATAAAGGTTTTACTCAGATTCTCCTCTTTATTTTTTTTAAAGAATTATTTAATTTAATTTTTAAAATTTATTTTAATTTGAGAGACAGAGTACGAGAAAGAGAGAGAGGGAAAGTGAGAAAGCAAGCTGCCAGGTCCGAGACTTGAACTGTGGTCGACCATGTGGGAGTCCAATGCCTCAACCACCACGCCACCTGCTAGCCCCATCAGAGTCTCTTCTAATAAGGATAGTCATAACCCAAACTGATTTTAACTTTTTTTGGGGGGGAGGGAGAGATTTCTGCTATAGGATGTATGTGCACTTGCTGGAGAGACAGAGAGAGACAGAGAGACAGAAAATAAGAAATCACCCCTAGGGGGAATGGCCACACCACAATCCCTTCTCCTCCATTCTCCTCTCAGGATCCTAGACATGCACGCATATACACCCAGTGTAAGTTTTAAGTCACTGGGTCCGGCACTCGAACCATGGTTGACTACGTGGGAGTCCAGCGACCTAACCATTACACCATCCTCTGATTTTAACTTATTAGAGGAATAGGCCACAGTTGAAAGAATCATGTCAGGGGTTGATCTTAGTAGGTGCCCTGCAATCAGCCTTCACGGGCCCCTCTTCGCAGGACAAAGTCCAGTTTCTTTGTCTGACTTACAGGGCCTCACCAGACCTGGCCTTGTCACCCACTTGTCATCCGATCACACCCACTTGCCTTAGCTCTTACTCAAGACAACAGAGTTCTCTCACACCCTGAGGACACAGAGAGAACAAGTGTGTGGTTTTTCCCACGTGCCATGTGGAGCACGTTCACCCCCTGTTTAGAACCATCTGTGACTCCCCAGCACCCTGTGGATAAGACTGAATTGCCCTACCATGCCTTACAAAGCTAGGGGAAAGCTGGCCCTGCCGAGTCTAACCTGCCCAAGCCTGACCACAATCCCCCTTGCTTTTTTCTTTCTGGCTACCTTGTCCTCTTTCAGTTCCCCTAAGACCATGTGTTTCCTCCTGATTCAAACTCTTTCTACCTGACATTCTCTCTGCTCCCCACCCCGGGCCTAATTCACACACACACCCCTTCACTTGACACCTCACATTTCAGCTTAGTTGCTGTTCCTACAGGAAGCCCTCCCTGACCATTGGCTGGGCCAGCCCTTGGACCCCCGGGACCAGCCCCTGCTTCCTCTCTCCCTTGTTCTCACTCACAGGAGCTCTGTTTTCCAGTCTCACTAAACCTCTTTCAGTTCCTCACAGAAACAAGACTTATTCTTTCCTCCTCGATGGTGATGTAGCAAGCGTGGTTTTCTCTGCCTGGAACACCCTCTCCTGACCCACCCTCATCTAACACCTCCTTCAGGTTCCAGTTCACACATGTCCCCTCTTCCAGGAAGCCGCCTGATCACATAGATGGGCCCATGTCTCAAGGGCTCTCCAGGCTACCTGTGCTTCCTCCAGCTCCCCTGATGCACTGTGTTCCTCCCTCCCATTCCCAACCCCTCTGCCTGTCACCCCTCTTCCTGGCCCTGACCATTTCTGGGCTGTCACTGTCCGATGTCCTGTGAGCTCTGTGGGACAGGGCCCAGGCTGTCCCAGTCATTGCTATGTCTCCAGCCCTGCCTCGCTGAGGCCTTGGCTGGAACTCAGTGGACGGTCAATGACTGGATGTGTGACCCGTGTGCTCCCCTCTGCAGTGTTACCTGTTTCACATGTACGTGGGCGTCCGGGCTGGTGGAGGCATTGGCGACGAGATTGAGGACCCCGCGGGCGATGAATATGAGCTCTACCGGGTGGTCTTCGACATCACCTTCTTCTTCTTCGTCATTGTCATCCTGCTGGCCATCATCCAGGGTCAGCACTGCCTGGGGCCCGGGAAGTGGACACTCAGTGCCCAGAGGCAGGCTGGCTCCATGGCTAAGAGTGCAGGCCTGGGACCCGCTCGGCCCGCATTTACATTCCAGCTCTCCCTCTCCCTGCTGTGAGACCTTGGGCAAGTCCTTTCTCTGGGCCTTGGTGTTTCCATCTCCAAATGAGGTTATTAATGATACTAATGATACATAGGGCTGTTGTGAGCATTAAGTCAATTCGTACCTATTAAGTGTCTGGTTCGCAGTAAGTGCTCAGTAAAGGCTGGATGTGGGGTGAGATTAGGGAGAAGGTGAAAACAAGGCCCTGAGGAAGGGAGCCAGAAGCTGGAGGAATCTGAACTGAGTCAAAGCTCAGCCCTGGCCTCTGTCCTGCCCCTCCCCCCCAGGTCTGATCATCGACGCTTTTGGTGAGCTCCGAGACCAACAGGAACAAGTGAAGGAGGATATGGAGGTGGGTCGTGTATGAGGTGACCCAGAGGGATTATGGGACCCTGGGGAGGGAGTGAAATGGCCCTGCACTCTGATCTGATGTCCTTCGCCGTCCCCAGACCAAGTGCTTCATCTGCGGAATCGGCAGTGACTACTTCGACACAACACCGCACGGATTTGAGACCCACACGCTGGAGGAACACAACCTGGCCAATTACATGTGAGCGCAGACTCGCTGGCCAATGAGGAGGGCGGGGGCGTGGCTGCTAACAGCCAGGAGCAGGGTACCAGGCCTTGGCCAGTTAGGGAAGGGGTGTGGCCTCCAGTGGGCGGATCCCCAGTCAGCCAATCAGAAGGTAGGACGACTTCCGACCTGCTCCCGCGACCCTCCCACCAGGTTTTTCCTGATGTATCTGATAAACAAGGACGAGACGGAACACACTGGTCAGGTAAGGCGGTGTGGACAATGGGAGGAGAGTGGGCGGGTGGCAGGGAGTTTTAACGTAAGGCCAATGTAAAGCAGGCGGCAGTAGAAAGCGCCTCTCAGTATCAAGGAGTTGAAATGTGACTAATGGACTCTTCCTATCCCCCCACCCTAGGAGTCGTATGTCTGGAAGATGTACCAGGAGAGATGCTGGGATTTCTTCCCGGCTGGCGATTGTTTCCGGAAGCAGTATGAGGACCAGCTGAGCTGAGACAGACCCCGCTGGCCCTTCACCCCCACAAGTGCCTTATTCCCACAGAAAGCTCCTTAGCCCCCAAGCCCCTCTCACTGGAGAAATAAATCTGTGCTACCCCACCCCCCCGCACCCTTGTGTTGCGTGGTTGAAATCTGGGAGGACCGGACATCTGGAAATTCTGCCTCCAGGTCAGCTGGTGGCAGGGAGGTTAAGGTGGCTGGATCTCACGGCTGACTCTGCAGTTCAGACCCAGTGGCTTGAAAACCATGCCAGACATGTGTGCATACATACCTAAATTCTTGAGAAAAATGGAGAAGGGATTGCAGCGTGGCCATCCCCTACCCTATCTCTCTGCCTCTCTCCAACAAGCACATGCACCATGTAGCAAAGTCAAAAAAAAATAAAAAAGAAAGAAAGAAAAAAGAAAAGGCAGTCTGCCTCCTCCCCAAAAAAACAAAATGACAACAGAGGCTAAAGTCATGTTTATTGGGAGACGGGACATGACATGACTCCTAGTGTGTCTGTTGTGGGGGAGGTACAGAGACTGGTTCCTAACAACCCCCCCCCAAGGGACTCATTCCTGGATGTAGAGGTTGCTGGGGGCAGTGGGATCATCTGCCGGGCGTGTCTCCACCACTACAGGCCTAGGGAAGGAAGAGAGAAGTCAGTTCACTGGTTCAGTCACTCATCGGTTTGCTCATTCATTCATTCACAAGGCAGTTATCAAAGACTAGGCCAGGACCAGCAGAGGGTGTACTGGTTATGTTGCTGGACTCCCACATGGCTGACCACTGGAAACTCACACTGGGTGCATGTGTATGTATGCATGCCCAAAATCCTGAGAAGAGAATGGAGAAGGGATTGCAGTTTGGTCATCCCCCCGGAGGGGGAGGGGATGACTTCTTGCTTTATGTCTCTGTCTCTCCAGTGAGCACACACACCCTATAGTAAAAACCACTCAGGACCAGCAGTTAGCGTAATGGCTATGTCGCTGAACTTCCATGTAGTAGACTACGGTTCACATCCCAGACCTGGTGGCTTAAACTCATGCCACGCATGTGTGTGTGTGTGGCCAAGATCCCAAGAGGAGAAGGGAGGAGAAGGGATTGTGGTGTGGCCATCCCCCAGGGGGGGGTGATTTCTTGCTTTCTGCCTCTCTGTCTCTCTCTTTCTGGTGAGCACACGTGCCCTATAGCAAAAACAAAACAAAACAAAAAAACTCTCTAAAAAAAAGAAAAAATCGCTATTAAGAAAAAAAAAAGACTAGGCCAGAGCAATTCTGGGTTATAGACTGAACAGGCAGACGTGGTCTCTACCTTTGGGGAACTCACAGCCTAAAGGAGACCAACACAAATCAGTGAATTACACACACACACAGAAGCACAGGATGCGTGGCAGGGATACCTAAGCCAGGAGGCCAGCCAAGAGGCCCCAAGCACGGAGGGTGGAGCCTGAAGGAAGCTTAGGAGGAAGCCGATGAGAGGGTAAAGGGAAGAATGTTCTTTGGGCAGAAAGAACAGCCTGTACATAAGGCTTAAGGTAGAGAGAGACTAGGACTTTGTCCCTCTCTGGTCAAATTTAAAAAAAATAAAGAAATGAATAAATAAAGTAATTCTTCTTTTTAAAAAAGAACTATTTAACTTTAGTTATTTATTTTCATTTGACCAGAGAGGACAGAGTGAAAGAGAGGGAAAGTGAGAAAGCAAGCTGCCAGGTCCAGGACTTGAACCGCAGTGGGCCATGTGAGAATCCAGTGCCCTTAACCACCACGCCTCCTGCCAGACCCCAGATTTGGAGTTTTAAAAGACCCTTCTGGGGTCAGCTGGTGATGTGGTGGTTAAGGCACTGGATTCTCACATGGCTGACAAGAGGTTAAGTCCTGGACCTGGTGGCTTGTTTCCTTACTTTCTCTCTATCACTCTCTCTGGTGAATGCACATGCCCTATAGCAAAATTTTAAAAATAATAATAAATAGGGAACCAGCAGTTAGCATAATGGCTATGTCACTGGACTCCCACGTAGTCGACCTCGGTTCGCGTCCCAGACCCGGTGGCTTAAAACTCACGCCGGGCGCGTGTGCGTGCGTGCCCAAGATCCCGGGAGGAGAATGGAGGAGAAGGGATTGCGGTGTGACCATCCCCCCTGGGGG